GCTCCCTGCTGAGCAGACAGTCCAATGTGGGGCTCTATCCCAGGACCCTGGGATCATGACCTGAGCCACCCAGGCGCCCCAGTATGGGCATTTTAATAATATTAACACCTCTAATCTAGGAACATGGGATGTCTTTCCACTTATTTCACTTCTTTCATCAGTGTTTTGTGGTTTTCAGTATACAAGTCCTTCATCTCCTTAGTTTATTCTTTTTTTTTTTTTAAGATTTTTATTTGTTTATTTGTCAGACAGATCACAAGTAGGCAGAGAGGCAGGCAGAGAGAGAGAGGAGGAAGCAGGCTCCCCACTGAGCAGAGAGCCTGATGCGGGGCTCGATCCCAGGACCCTGGGATCATGACCTGAGCCGAAGGCAGAGGCTTTAACCCACTGAGCCACCAGGTGCCCCAGTTAAGTTTATTCTTAAGTATTTACTTTTTTTAAAAGATTTTTTATTTATTTAACAGAGAGAGAGTGTGTGCAAGCACAAGCAGGGTGAATGGCAGGCAGAGAGAGAGGGAGAAGCAGGCTTCCCACTGACCAGAGAGCCTACCGTGGGGCTTGATCCTAGGACCATGGGGTCATGACCTGAGTGGAAGGCAGACACTGAGACACCCAGATGCCTGTATTTTATTCTTTTTGATGTTACTCTAAACTGAATTTTTCCTAATTCCCTTTTTGAATAGTCCATTATTAATGTATAAAAATGCAACCAAATCTTGTATGTTAATTTTGTATCCTGCAACTTTAATGAATTTATTTACTAGTTCTTTAAGTTTTTAAAATGGACTCTTCGGGATTTTCTACTCTTAACAACCAAGTTGTTTGCAAACAAGGATAATTTTACTTCTCCCTTTCCAGTGTGGATGTCTTTTATCTCTTTTTATTATCTAATCTGTCTGGCTAGGACTTCTAGTACTATGTTAAATACAAATGGTACAAGTGGGCACCCTTGCCTTATTTTGGATCTTCTTTCTTTTCCTAGTTTGTTGAGAGTTTTTATAATGAAAAGGTGTAGAATTTCATCAAATTTTTTAAAATAAAGATTTTTGTTTATTTGACAGAGAGAGAGAGGTAGAACACAAGCAGGGGCAGTGGGAGAGGGAGAAGCAGGCTTCCCGCTGAGCAGGGAGCCCAATGTGGGGCTCGATCCCAGGACCCTGGGATCATGACCTGAACCAAAGGCAGACGCTTAACAACTGAGCCACCCAGACACCCCTCATCAAATGCTTTTTATGCATCTGCTGAGATGATCTTGTGATTTTACCTTTTATTCCACTGATGTGTTGTTGGATTCAGTTTGCTGGTAAATTACTGAGGATGTACCCATCTATATTCATTAGGGATACTGGCCTATCATTTTCTTTCCTAGTGGTGTCTTTGTCTGGTTTTGGTACCAAAGTAATGCTGGCCTATAAAATGAGTTTGGAAGTGTTCTTACCATTTCAATTTTTGGGGAAATTTTTGAGAAGGACTGGTATTAATTCCTCTTTAAATGTTTGGTAGAATTCACCAGAGAAGCTATCTGGTCCCAGGCTTGTCTTTGTTAGGGGGTTCTTGATGACTGTTTTAACCTCCATACTGGTTATGTGTCTGATTAGGATTCCCATTTCTCCATGATTTACTTTTACTAGGTTGTATGTTTCTAGGAATTCATTCATTTGTTCTAGATTATTGTTTGTTGGCATATAACTGTTCATATTTGATTCATTTTATTCATGTCATAATTGTAATGTCTCTTCTTTTGTTTCTGACTTTACTTGTCTTCTCCTTTTTTCCATAGTTATTCTAAGGCTTTGTCAATTTTTGTTAAAAAAACTATTTCATTTGTTTTTTTCTATTTTCTATTTTTAAATTTATATCTGCTTTAATTTTTGTTATTTTCTTCTTTCTGCTAACTCTGGGCTTGGTTTGTTTCTTTCTAGCTCTAAAAGTTAAATTGTTTTAGGTCTAGCCATATAGCTGGGTCATGGTTTTTTATCCATTTGGTCCTTCCATGTCTTTTGATTGGGGGAATTTAATCCATTTACATTTAAAGTGATTATTGATAAGGAAGGACTTATTATTGCTATTTTTAAAGCCAAGGAAGTTCACTTATAGCAGAGATAGGAGGCTGACATGATAGCACTCAGACTTGTTTTTCCTTACCCCCTTTCTTCCATTTCTACTAGGCTGCTAGGGGTCTCCTAGGATTCAGAAGTGTGTTTGTATGAGTGTGTGTGTCCCATATTCTGGGCAGTGCTCCCCTCCAAAAGCCAGGGATTTAATGGAATTCGAACTGAAATGTTAAAAAGAAAAAAATTCAAGCCACTTATCTGTTAAAATTAGGATAGGCCATGCCCTGAGTAATCCAGACATTCTCCTCTTCTCCAGGGCCCAGAATCTTCCCCTGAGATCTGTTTCAACATCAAGAACTCTTTCCATCCTCCTTTCCTCCCTGAGTTTGGTGGTGTAAAACTCAAGAAGCTGGTCATGCTTCCTTGACAAGGTTGCTTGATACTATGGGTAAGGCGAACTTGGGGACGTTTAGGATTCCTGAGTGCAGGAAACTTCTTCCAAAACAGCAGCTTCTCATGGTGGGGTTCTAGTATGGCCAGGGAACTGCTGGCAGTCTCCTGAAAGGGGCTGCAATCCTTGGGATCTGAAGCACCACAGTTGTAGGGATCACCCTCATTACTCACACAACAATTTCTGTGTCTGACTTTCTCATATTTGGTCTGGCTTGTTTACACCCCACTTTGTCCCCAAAGAGGACTGGTAGTGCCTTCTCTGGCTAAGCCTTGTGCAAGGTGCTACTGGTAAAGAGGGAAGATCCTATTTCTGTCTTCTGGGAATTGACAGTCTAAATTCCAATCCTAGACTACCCCTAAATTCCCACTGAAGAAAGCTTCCTTGGCTATTAGCACAAGCACTAAAAAAATCAAGGCATAGAGATAGGACTAAAAACGCCAACAGACAAATTAAAATGCAGTTAAAATGAATATTTAGTTAACTCAAAAAGAAAGTGGGAAAGAAGGAGCAGAGAATGGAAAACAAAAAGGAGAAAACACCCAACTGTATCAATATTACATTAAATATAAATGACTAAACATTTTGATTAAAAGAAAATTTATCAGACTGCATAAAAGCAAGATAGCTTTTATATATAAAAACATAAGTTGAAGAAAAATTATATGTACGCAAAAATAAGCATAAAAAGACTAATATTAACACCAGATAAAGTAGACTTCAAGACAAAGAGTTTTATCAGTGATAAAGAAGAACATTTAATAATGACAAAAATGTCAATTCTTCAGGAAGATATAACAGTCATAAATTTGTGTGCACCCAAATCAGAGGACAAGATGTTAGTGAGGATAAATTTAAAAGTCTTAGCTATGGGAGGCTACTGTGAACTGGATATGGGGTTTAGTCTCAGCAGCTGGTACAGGATTTGTGGGTACCCATGTGAGCATGGAATTGTTCTGCTTATAAAATTCTAGGAGTAGTCAAAAGCATCTAGTGAATCTCAACATTCTAAGCTGAGACAATTAGAAGAAATGAATAAAGCAGGGTCTCCAACTTGGGAACAAAATATGGGCCAGGCTGCTCTTTCAGGTGTGCCACAGAACACTGGCCCTTCAGACTATGAGCCCCCATCTCAGCTTTTCATGTCACCTTGGTAAGGCTCACAGAGACAGTTGAGAGGAGGTCTATTCTCCTTAGCAGGGGCTATGAGGCTTTGGTCCTGCTTCCCATTCAGCCTCATCTCCTCTCCTCCCTCACTCTGAAACCCAGCCATGGCTTCTGTCAATCTAAGAATATGTGCTGTTTCCTCCATTAAAAAATGCCAATGAGCCCTTCTCTACTGTACTCTTGTTCCTACTTCAAGAATGGCTCAGCAGCTGACAGTTAAACAGAACGGCAGCTGAGCTAATTGAAGAAGGAAAATCTTGAGGATCAAGGAAATGAGTTAATAATTGACCACACAATTTAGGCTGAGTGGGAAGGGGGAAGGGACATCAAATGAGGACTGACAATGAAAAGATGATGAGTTCAAAGGCACCCATTTAGGTTCAGTCTTGGTTGCAATTCAGTGACAGATGGAGTAACTGGGAAAGACAGGAGATGCTGGTCAGACTGTGGGGGCTTGACACTGAAAAATGAACATACATTCTACTTCACATTGTTATTTTCCGAGGTGTTCAATGTTTCATTTTAAAATGGATGAAATATTCATCTAAATGTTATCAAGTCTTGAGTCCCTATTTTTCCTCTTGTGTCCCAGTTGAGTAGTGGTTTGATAACAAAATTGTCTCATATCATCAAGAGCAGCTTTCCACCAGTTAGGTAATCTGTATACTTGTCATTCTGAAAGGACAGTGACTGACTAGACACCTGATGGCCTAGGCTACTTACACAACATCACTGAGTTTTGATAAATCATGATGAAAGATAAAACTCTCTAGCAATGAAGACAGTCACGGGGATTTCCTTTTGGGCTATATTCCTTATTCTTTAATATCATAAACTGCTAAAATTCTTCTTGGATAGCTTCCAGGACAAATGAGTTGCATAATAAGATTTTTTTTTTTTTTTTTTGCATAGTAAGATTTTTAAAAGCTCACCAAAATTGGCTCTGGTATTGAAAAGGAAACCAGGAAACAAAGCAAGTTTCAGAATCAGCAGAACCTGCTGAAGATACATCCTACAAGTTTAAAACTGGCATACCGAAAAGGATCCCTGTCTAGATTTTATCATTGTAACATGCTAAGTTTCACTCTCCCTGACACAGTGGACATGAACGTAGTAGTAAGGACATGGGTCTCTATTATAGGTTCATATCCTAAGATGAAACCAGTAACATTTAGATAACCTGCCTCCCAAGTTAGCCCAACTAATAGATCTTTGAAACCAGGAATGATGATACCTTTACAAAAAGGAAAACCACACAGATTCTTTCTGTGGTGGGAGAGTCTTTCATCCCTAAGAGGTGAAGAATGTCAGGAAAAACTCAGACTCACCAGGGCTTGCAGTTTAGGACAGTGGACAGAGAGCTGGATGAGTGTGCTGTCGGTGATCTGGAGGGAAACAAGCTGTGTCAATGTGGCTTCCACACCAGAACTTAATACCTAAGTTTGGTTTCTCCTGAACATAAGAATCAAAAGGTGTAAAACAATTAAAAACTCATCTCAAACACATTCAGGCTGGGAGCCCCTCTCGTCACCAACAACCTCAAATCTTGTAGACACAAAGCTGTTCGTGGTCTCTCCTCTGGTGCCCCAAGGGGGTCCAGGAATAGGGGACAAAGAAGGAGTAGGTAAAGAGGTCCCCAGGATTCTCCTCTGTAGTCACCTCAACACTGGACATGCAAACTTATTTCTCCCTTCAGTTATGTGGAAGATTTTTTTTTTTTTTTAATGTTTGGCAAAAACTGGAGCTACCCTGAACTTCTCAGCTATAGCTCTGATGGCTGAGAAGAGCCCAAAGTTCATGCATCCCAATGACCTAGCCCTTATGGGGGTCCCAATTCCTGACATGCTGGGGTGAGAAGGGTCCAGGCAACAGCCAGCTGGGGTCTCTGGCTATGCCTGGTTGTCTCTCAGGTCTGAGGGGCAGCCCTGCAGGACTTGTCAAGAGTCTACTTACCAGGATGCATTCTTCAAGATCCATCTTCTCCAGGTCATGGCAATTCTGGAAAAGTCCATAAGACACCACCACCCCCCACCACCACCATGTGGTCAGTGGTCAGGGCAACATGGGTGGCTTGCTGTATTCCTCTGAGTACTGGCCCAGTATCCTTGTTCTCTTCCCTTTAGGAGTATGTCCTGTTCCTAAAGTGACCCAGTGAGCCAGCACTTCTGAGCAGGTGCTTTTTGAAACACATTCCCTTTGGCAATGGGAATGTGGCCACCCTGGGCTACAATCCTTCTCTCACCTGGAAAGGTAGTGGCCTCCACCTTCCCAGTGGCTATGGATATCATCCTGTAAATTTTAGCCATAGAACAGGCTTGGGAAAGCATGGGGGTGGGGTGCTCAGGCACAGTTTGGACAGGTGAGGGTTAGGGTAGAGGAAAAGTATCCCCATCCCCAGAAGGTCATGGGTTCTCAGCTGCAGACAAGAGGAACCCCCATGATAGTCAGCATCTGCAGGGTGATGTGGAACAAGGAGCAGAGGCAGACAACAGCTCAACGGGGGAAGCTACTAAGAGACTGAATCAGGGTTTGAATGAGGAAAGGCATGTCCTGCCAGGGAGGAAATTCCTCTTGTGGTCCCGCCTGACCAAATGAGAGTGAGGTTTAGACCTGCTCCAGAAACCCCTACAGGACCACCTTAGCATTCTGGGGAAAATGGGAAAACGTATCCTGAGGACCCTAGTCTACTTGGTACCTGTCCTTTCTAAAGGTACACAATTTTTGCACACTCTAAAACCACAGCAAGTTATTTTGAAATGAGAGGTAAATTATAGTTTGGTTTTGTTTTTTGAAACCTCTGGCTTACCCGAGCTAAAAGTGTAAAGCCTGCATCAGTCAAATGGGAACATCGGGCAGCCTCCAAAATCCTGGGATACAGAGTGCGTGGGAGGAAAAGGCAGTGACTGGTTAACAACAGAAATACACACTTTGTGAAGCACACTCTTGAGGTTATTCTGCCTTCTGACACACCTCTGCTTCTGGAATAGTCCTGAGGACAGTAAATGCAAATGCTGTCCCACAGGATAGATGATGGGAAGAAGGCTTAGGGGAAAGTGTGGCCTGCCCTAAGTCCCACAGTTCCAGCCCAAATTCAGGGAGAAAACCCAGGAATCTTCCCACAATTCCAGGACATTGCTGCTGCTGCTATTTTCAAATATTATTCCAATATTTGTTGACTCCTAAACACAATTAAAATGAGCTTTTACTCAACAAAATGATCTTTATATATATTGTATTTAAATGAAATTCCCAGTTACCCTAAAAGGAATTTTAAAAATTTGTAGCCAATGAAAAACGTGAGTTAATTCTCAATGCCCATGCTTAGTAGGGATGGAGAAATAACATTTTAAAGTTAAATACTCCCCTGTAGCAGTAATTTTGACCACCTTTCTGACCAGTTTTGATCACCCACATTCCTTTTACTACTCAGAAATATCAAAATAGTCTAGAATTATCCCCAATGAAACAGTAAGAAAAATGGGCAAAGGACAGCAATAGATAATTGGTAAAAGATGTGAAACTGGTGTAAGCATGAGAAACTGATCAGTTTCACTGAGAAGTAAACAACAAAATAAGTTTTTTTTCTTCTGTCTTTTGTACAAGGGCTAAGATTGCTGGTTCTGAACAACGATTCAAGTTCAAACACTAGTTTTACTTCCTTCTCATCATATGACCCAGGATAGATTATGTGATTTTCTTTGACTCCCAGTTTCTCATCTGAAAAACAAGTGAGAATGATAGTGCATATCTCCTAGAGAAGTGGAGAGGACTAAATGAGATAATGCTTATAAAATTGCCCAACACAAAGCCTGGAACATAAATGAGTTCAACTGGTGTGAACTATGATTAGTACTTTGTTGCCATAGTTAAAGTTTTACTATTCATAATATTATTGGAGAAAATCAATCTTTATTTGTTAAAACAAAACTTTCTTCTTCTAGGAAAGGTGATAAATAAGGTGACTGTGATCCCCCTCCCCATCTTCTGTCCATTTAGCAACTGGTTTAGGGGAGAATCTGTTAACACTGGGATGTGAGGCTGTCATTCTGACCCTATCAGATCACTCTAATGTCAAAGCTATAACAGGATGAGGCAAATCAGGTGGGCACATGTGTCAAGTCCATCAAGAAATTATAGTTCAGGTTCCCTCGTGGTGTACAGTTCATCCCATCCACTCCTCCCATACATCCCTAAATAAACCAGATTACGTATTGTTCTAACCCCAACCCATCTGATAAAAGCCAACAATAACCCAACCACTGCCACCACTTCTATCATTACCTATCCACCTGCTGGTAAGGCTTTCCCTTCCTGCAGGAAGCCCTCCTGGTCAGTCCAGCAAGCTCTGAGCTACAAAGCAAAAGAATGGTGCACTTACTGAAGTCTTGGGCAGTTCAAAGCCAGGGCCGTGAGAGAGGCGTCTGTGAGGTTGCTGCAGCCAGAAAGGCAAAGAGCCTGTAGCCGATGGCAGCCCCTGCATATCTGCACGACACCTTCATCTGTAATGCGCTGGGGAAGTCCAAACAGGAAGGAACATCAGAAGGCACCAACAATACTGAAAAATAGGATCTACTGCTGGTCAATTAGTTGGGCTGCCAAATACCAGCATTTTATCCTAATAATTTAATAAAATAAGATGAAGTACAGGGTTGACATGTATTTGTTATCTCTGTACAGTTTTAAAATATTCTAGTACTAACAGAGAATAAGATAAAAAAAAAAAGATTTTATTTATTTATTTGACACAGAGAGAGAGAGAGAGAGAGAGAGATCACAAGCAGGCAGAGAGGCAGGCAGAGGTGGGGGGGAAGCAGGCTCCCTGATGAGCAGAGAGCCTGATGCGGGGCTCGATCCCAAGACCATGAGATCATGACCTGAGCCAAAGGCAGAGCCTTAACCCACTGAGCCACCCAGGTACCCCAGAATGAAATTTTTTAAAAAAAGATTTTATTTATTTGACACAGAGAGAGAGAGATCACAAGTAGGCAGAGAGGCAGGCAAAGAAAGAGGAGGAAGCAGGCTCCCCACTGAGCAGAGAGCCTGATGTGGGGCCCAATCCCAGGATCCTGAGATCATGACTTGAGCTGAAGGCAGAGGCTTAACCCACTGAGCCACCCAGGTGCCCCAGAATGAAATTTTTTAAAAAGATTGAGAGAGAGAGAGAGAGAGCGAGCGCACAAACAGGGAAGTGCAGAGAAGAGAGAGAGGGAAAGAATCCTCAAGCAGACTCCCTGTTGAGCACAGAGCCTGACACAGGGCTCTATCCCAGGACCCAGGGATCATGACCTGAGCTGAAATTGAGTCAGATGCTCAACTGACTGAGCCACCCAGGTATCCCGCCAAGAGTGAATTTAAAAAAAAATTTCATCCCCCTCCCCAGAGTTCATTTGATTTTTTTTTGAGGAAAAATTCATAAATTTAAAAATCTTAAAAATCAGATTAAATAAAGAGCTCATAAGATTTGCCTGGTTAGGGGCACCTGGGTGGCTCAGTGGGTTAAAGCCTCTGCTTTCGGCTCAGGTCATGATCCCAAGGTCTTGGGATCGAGCCCCGCATTGGGCTCTCTGCTCTGTGGGGAGCCTGCTTCCTCTTCTCTCTCTGCCTGCCTCTCTGTCTACTTGTGATATCTCCCTGTCAAATAAATAAATAAAATCTTAAAAAAAAAAAAAAGACTTGCCTAGTTAAGTGACATAATTTTTGGTTGAATTTCTACAGATTAATGCTTTAAATATCTGCCATATAAATCATATACATACATATATATGTTATATATATATGTATTTTTAAAATATTTTATTTATCTATTTTACAGAGAGAGAGAGAGAGAACACAAGCAGGCAGAGGGGCAGAGAGGGAGAGGGAGAAGCGACTCCCTGCTGAGCAGGGAGCCCGATACAGGACTCGATCCTAGAACCCTGGGAACATGACCTGACCCAAAGTCAGCCACTTAACTGATTAAACCACCCAGGGGTCCCATATATGTATATATTTATAATATTTCCTCAAATGTTTTAGAAAATAGCAAATGAAATATATCACTAAATTATTGTTAAATGACTTGCATTTTTTTTTAAAGATTTATTTGTCCATTTTAAAGATGGACAGAGAGAGAGAGTGCTGGGAGGGAAGAGGAGGGAGAGAAGCCTCAAGCAGACCGGCAGAGGGCCCAATCCCACAACCCATGAGATCATGACCCATGACATCATGTCCTGAGCTGAAACCAAGAGTCAGATGCTCAACAGACTGAGCCACCCAAACGCCCCTGGCTTGCACATTTATATTCTACTTTAAGTTGTCTGTGAGTGCTCTCACTACAAGATCCTAATATTGAGCAGTACCGTAAGTCATCTGTCCAGATGACAGTTTCTGTTCTATCTTCCACCATCAAGGATTCTAAAGACATATGACTCATTCACTGAATACCAACTGCAAAGATTTCTCTTAACATTTCTCAAAATTTATGTTCCCCTTGGGAAGCCCAGGAGCATGTAGCAAGCATTCTCTTCAAGGATCAATACTGACAATGGCAGTGAGGACGGAATAATCGTTTTTCACATGTTAATGTCACGATGAAAATTACACCTTGCTCTTGAATACATCCTTCATGTTTCAAAGCATTTTCACATCTATCATTTCATTTTGTCCACTGTCATTATCCCCAGCTTATAAGTTAAGAAAAAATAAAAGACACTGAGACCTTATATGAATTTGTTCAGCTTAGTGACTAGTTCATTGCATTTCTATCATAAAATAAACCAAGACATCAATTTATGTTATTTTTAGGGGGAAATAGAAGTGGCTTTGTATGGGCCACCTTGTTTAGACTGTTATTATTTCATCTTGTGGCAAACTGAGATCGTATGAGGACAAAGAATAAGAAAACAGGGTGTGGCGACCATCCCTCCTGCCTGGGGGCTTCAAAGTGGGGCCCACAGGAGACTCAAGGAACGTGGCACAGGAGGACACTCCCAGGAAAAGCGTGTTACTTACTGAGCAGGACTGTAAGTTGAGGCTCACAAGCTCATGGCAGTAATTCTGAATGTGTTTCAGAGCTTCATCTTCTAACTGAGTGGACAGAGAGAACAAAAGGGGGATGGAACCAGGTGAGAGAATAGTGGCAAACCAAGAAAAATGCAACAGCAAGTTCTCTAATGAAGTGCCCACACCTCATGTTAGAAAACCAAACCTCAACCAAGCCCTCGGTACCTGTGTGCAGCCCCTCAGGAGCAGGGCTTTCAGGCCTCGGCAACCTCGCACCAGTGCCTCAATGCCATCCTTCGTGATCTGGTCACACCAAGAGAGGTTCAGGTACTCCAGGTTTCGGCAGCCCTCACTGAGAGAACAAGAAACGGTCACACATGTGCAATCTATCCTACAGATAGTTCATTACCAAGTCTGAGTTTAGTAACTCACAAACAATTAAGGGGAGAGAAGACCTCTTTGTTGTTCCAGTGGGATCATTAGAAAGTTTTAGGCACACCAGGATGCTCTTAGGTTTAGGTGTTTCTTCTAACAACAGGTACTCTTACCTGATCCCCTTTAAGGAGCTGTTTGTAATGGACACACAGGAGGTCAGATCCAGATGTTTGAGCTTGGAACAGAATCTGCTAAGGCTATAACATGTGCTGGAAAAAAGCAGACACACTAAAGATATTTTCAACCATGTTTCTCTCCCCTCACTCTCCTGATGGTCAATTTGTCACCAAACTCATTCTCATTCCTTACCTGTCAGTGATTTTGGTGCACCCATTGAGGTTTAAATGTTCAATGTTTCTGCAGTTCTGTGCAAAGGTCCTAAAAAGAGAAAACATTTTAAAGCTCCCTGGTCAGCCACTAGAGGGCATGTGTCACCGTTCACATTTAACACAGTGCTCCTCAAACTTTTACATTTTAGTTTACTGTGGGAAAGAACAATTAACATGAGATTTACTCTCAACAAATTTTAAGTGTACAATAAGTTATTGTTAACCATAGGTGCTGGTGCTCCTCAAACTTTAATGTGCACATGAAACACCTGGGGTTCTTGTCATAGTGTAGATTTTTTTTTTAAGATTTTATTTATTTTTATTTGACAGAGATCACAAGTAGGCAGAAAGGCAGACAGAAAGAGAGAGAGGAGGAAGCAGGCTCCCTGCAGAGCAGAGAGCCTGATGCAGGGCTCGATCCCAGGACCTTGGGATCATGACCCGAGCCGAAGGCAGAGGCTTTAACCCACTGAGCCACCCAGGTGCCCCCACAGATTGTTTTTTGTTTTTTTTTTAAAGATTTCATTTATTTGACAGAGATCACAAGTAGGCAGGGGCGGGGAGTAGGCTCCCTGCTGAGCAGAGAGCCTGACGTGGGGCTCGATCCCAGAACCCTGAGATCATGACCCAAGCCAAAGGCAGAGGCTCTAACCCTCTGAGCCACCCAGGCGTCCCCATAGTGCAGATTCTAATGGTACAGCTTGACAAATTGTTTGATGGTCTGCATTTCTAAAAAATTCACAAGTGATGCCACTGCTGCTACCTGGGAACTACACTTTGAGAGACAAAGCCCAAGACCAACTACGTATCAGTCATAATGTTCCTTCAACCCACACCCTGGTGAACATCTTAGAAAGGAGACCTGGCTCCTTGTTCCTTCCTCTCTATAGAAAAATCAGTTGGAAGCAAGGGGACTGAATCTTTCTTGTATTGTGCCATGCTGTCATTCTGAAGAAACTATCTTTGGACACTGATAGGATCAGTAGTTGATCAGTATGAAGAACCATCCACTTCCTGGTGAGGATACTGAGTCATGAAGAGAAACTTTCTCAATAATTTGTGGGTTGACAGAAGGGCCAAAAGCGGAAAATTAAACATCCCTTAGCACTTATTCCTTAAAATATTCAGCAAGGACTGACTTTTCCTGAAATACAGCTTCAACGTATTTTTAGTGTTGAACCCTGATTCTTCCATGCAGTCTCCAAAACGTGGCCTCAAACTGTGTCACTCTTATCTGCTCCTTCTACCCTGGTATGGTGCTATGGAACTGACCTGGAGGCTGGTGGAATCCCTGAGTTGAAGATATGGAGCCAAAATCTGACCAATTCAGAGAAGAGTACTGGAGCACAGAGAACTTCAGGGGGTTCCTCTCAAGAATTCAGTAGAGTACAAATCAGGGCATGCATATAGGGAAACTACCCAAAGCCAGGGAAAGAATCATCAAAAAGCACTAGAAGGAACAACAGCCAGAGCTCACCCATAACCAGGAAAGTGCCCATTCCCATAAATCAACAGTGAAAAAGTCTCAATTTGTGGGGTACTGCGTAGAGCACTAACAAGTACCTTGCATCAGGTGTACAATTAGTGCTCAACTAAACATGGCTTTGGTCCAACTTAACAAATTTAAAAAAGAAAAAGATTTGAAAGGAACTATGTCCAAATAACTCAACTGTGTCCAGAATAAAACTCAATAATATCTATAGGAATAAAAAAATGTTTTGCACCCAAAATAAAATTCAGAATGTCTGGCATTGAGCAAAAAATTGGCATGCATTCAAAGAAGGAAAATATATCCATAATGAGGAGAAAAATCAACCAAAGTGGGGCGCCTGGATGGCTCAGTGGGTTTGGGTGTCTGCCTTCGGCTCAGATCATGATCCCTGGGTCCTGGGATCAAGCTCCTCATCAGGCTCCCTGTTCGGCACAGAGCCTGCTTCTCCCTCTCCCTTTGCCTGCTGCTCCCCCTGCTTGTGCTCTCTTTCTTTCTTTGTGTGTCAAATAAGTAAGTAAAACCTTAAAAAAAATCAACCAAAGCTGACCCAAAACTGACACAAATATTAGAAATAGTAGACAAAGACATTAGAAGTTATTATAACTGTGTTCTGTAGAATATAGTTCTATGAAGTTACATAAAGATTAAACATGTTATGATTATTAAATGTGGAAGAAAAAAGAACAGCATAAATGAGCTGTGGGACAGCTTCAAACAATCTACTATACATGTGACTGGGAGTCCTCAAGGAACTGGAGTTTGGGCAGGGGTGGGATCAGGTAGAATATCTGAAGTAATGGCCAAAATTTTTCCAAAGTTTATGAAAACTATAAACCTACAAATCCAAGACAGTCAAAGAATTCCAAGTAGAAGAAATATGAAGAAGGCATATGATAACTGAATTGGTCAAAACCAGTGACAGAAAAATCTTAAAAGCAGCCAGAGAAAAAGATACATTATGTACAGAGAAAGAAGAATAAGGGTGACAGATTTCTCATTGGTTAAAAAAAAAAAAAAAAAAGGCAACAAGAAGAAAACCAAGGAGACGCATCTTTAAAATACTGAAAAAACTGTCAACAGAATTCTATACTAAGCAAAAATATTTTTCAAAAAAATTTTTTGAAAGATTTCATTTATTTATTTGACAGAGACACAGTGAGAGAGGGAGAAGAAGGCTTCCCACCGATCAGGGAACCTGATGCAGGGCTTGATCCCAGGACCCTGGGATCAGGACCTGAGCTGAAGGCAGACACTTAATGACTGAGCCACTCAAGTGACCCTCAAATATTTTTGAAATAAATATGAAGGACAAATAACTTTTTTCCCCCCAGATACAGAAGGGTTGAAAGAATTAATCACATCTGCAGTACAAGAAATATTAAGGAACATTCTATAGGTAGAAAAAAGAGTGATACTACACAAAGGAATCAAGAATACTGGAAATAGTAACCACTTGGGTATATAAATCACTTTTCTAGTTATTTAAATCTCTTTTAAAATAATCAACTATTAAAAAATACTAACAATCTGGGGCACCTGGGTGGCTAAGTGGGTTAAGCCTCTGCCTTCAGCTCAGTTCATGATCTCAGGGTCTTGGGACTGAGCCCCGCATCGGGCTCTCTGCTCAGCAGGGAGCCTGCTTCCCCTGCCTCTCTGCCTACTTGTGATTTATCTCTCTCTGTCAAATAAATAAATAAAATCTTAAAAAAAATACTAACAATCTAGTGTGGAGTAGTTTGTATTATATATAGAATTAAAATGTGTAATAGTAACAGCATAAAGATTGAGTGAGGAAAAACGGAAGTGATCTGTAATACAATTTGAAGGTAGACTATAACAAGTTAAAGATGTGCATTACAAAAACTCTAGAGCAACCATTAAAATTACAAAATAATAACTTATAACTCTAATCAAACAAACGATATAAAATGGAATCCTAAAAAAATTCTCAACCTAAAAGAAGGCAGAAAAAGAGGAAAGGGAAAGAAAATATGTATGGGACAAACAGAAAACATCAAGAGAGTAAATTTAAAAATAACCATAACAGATCAATTATCACATTAAATGTAAATGATCTAAATACAAAATTAAAAAGCATAAATTGTAACAATGGATCAAAAAAGCAACATCCAACCATATATTGCCTACAAGAAAACAACTTTAAATATAAAGACACAAATTGGTGAAAAGTAAAAGAATGGAAAATTGTAGCCAAAAAAAGAAAGCTGGAGTATCTATATAATATCAGACAAAGTAGACCTCACAGCAAAGAATATTACCAGAGATAAAAGAAGGCCATGTGATAATGAAAAACTGGTCAATTCATCATAAAGGTACAGCAACCCTAGGTTATATAGGTTTATTAGGTTTATATACCTAATAACAGAGCTTCAAAATACATGAAGATATAACCTGAGGAGAAACAAATCTGAAATTACAGGCAGAGATTTCAATATAACTCTGTCAATATTTGATCAAACAATAAGTCAGAAAATCTGCAAAGATATAAAAGACTTTATCAACACTCTTATTCAACTTGATCTAATTGATATTTATAGAACGCTTCACCCAACAACAGCAGAGTACATATTCTTTTCAAGTGGATATGAACATTTACCATGACAGACCATATTCTTGGCTACAAAACAAGTTTCAATAAAATTAAAAGGACTCAAGTCATATAAAGTATATTCACTGATCACAATGGAATTAAATTAGTAATGAATAACAAAAAAAAAATCTGGAAAATGCCCAAATATTTAGAAGCAAAATAACATGCTTCTAAATAACCCCTGGGTCAAGGAAGAAATCAAAAGGGAATCAAAGGGAAAGAGTGTATATTTTTAATGGAATGAAAATGAAACACATAATTAGAATTTGTGAAATGCTACTAAATCAATACTTCAGGACAAAATCTTCATGTCCCTGGGTTAGGCAAAGATCTCATATATCACCAAAAGCATGATTCATTCAAAAAAACCGGTAAGTTGAACTTCATTAAAATGAAAATCTTCTCTTCAGAAGACCCTCATGAGAATAAACAGATAAGCCACAGACCGGGAGAAAACATTTAAAAAACGCAAATCTGATCAAGGACTTGTATGCAGTAAATAACTCAAAATTCAGTGGTAAGACAGAGAAAAATCTAATTTTTTTATTTTTTTATTTTTTAAAAATATTTTATTTATTTATTTGAGAGAGACACAGTGAGAGAGAGCATGAGCGAGGAGAAGGTCAGAGAGAGAAGCAGACTCCCCATGGAGCCGGGAGCCCGATGCGAGACTTGATCCCGGGACTCTGGGGTCATGACCTGAGCCGAAGGCAGTCGTCCAAAAAACTGAGCCACCCAGGCGTCCCACAATCTAATTTTTTTTTTTTAAAGTCAAAACCCCCACATTTGAACAGATATTTCAGCAAAGAAAATATGCAGATAGCAAAAGTACACAAAAAGATGCTCAAAAGCACTAATTGTTAGAAATACAAATTAAAACCAAAATGAGATGCTACTACATATATCTATTAGAAACACTAAAATTAAAGAGAATGACCTACCAAGT